GGAGCCACGTTCTCCTGATGAGCTTCATAGGAACTGACAACGTGTGAGTTGACAACATGTTGTTGATGAGCTTTAATTGGACTGATTCTGATACCTACTGATGTTGATCTTCTGGATCTGCTGATGGACCAGACCGGCCCCCCTGTTAAAGAATGCAGCACTGTCCGAGTCAAAGGCCCGTGAACTTTACCTTCAGGTTCTTCAGAACATGAGAAGAATGTTCCAGGAGGCTCGTTTAGTCCACGCTGACCTTAGCGAGTTCAATATGCTGTAAGAGATCACGCCCACCGCCCATGTCACACCTGTTCTCTCTGAATGTTTGTGGTAGAAGACGTGTTTGTTGTTCTTACTTAGGTATCACAACGGAGATGCTTACATCATCGACGTGTCCCAATCTGTGGAGCACGACCATCCCTGCGCTCTGGAGTTCCTCAGGAAAGACTGCAGCAACGTCAATGGTCTTTCACACACACACACACACACGCACATGCAGAGTAATGGACAGTACAGGCTACAACTCACACCAACACTGGCCTCTGGAGGTCATCAGCCCCAACTGCATGATGTCATCACAGTGATGTCATAGGTCCTTGTGTTTCCCAGAGTTCTTTGTGAGGAGGGGAGTGGCTGTGATGACAGTGAGAGAGCTGTTTGACTTCATCACTGACGTGTCCATCACTCAGCAGAACCTGGACCAGTATCTGGACAAGGTAGGACTTCAAACTCACACTCTGACACTGTCACAATGTTGGGTTCTCACCTGGATCCTGCTTTCTGATTGGTCTAGGCCATGAGCATTGCAGTCCAACGCACAGAGCAACAGAGGACGGCTCAGGACCAGGTGGACGAGGAGGTGAGGCCTGAACTACAGATGTTCTCTACCTTTAGAAACCAGTATGAGTGTAGGCCATGTGACCATAGGTCTTCTGAGAACCTCTTCTCCTGGAGAACCCAGAACTAAGGGTGTGTGTGTTTTGCTCTTTACCTTTGAACCTCAGGTCTTCAAGAAGTCCTTCATCCCCCGAACCCTGACAGATGTCAGTCACTACGAGAGGGACGTGGAGGTGATGAAGGCGTCTGACCAAACAGGAAGTGATGTTAATGTGAGTGAGTGATAATGATGTCATTAGATGATGTCATAACATCACTGAGGAGGTGAGAGCGTGTGTGAGCATTCAGATGGTCCTGGTCAGTAGACCAGTGTTGGTAACAGTGGTCTCCTCCACCACTGGTCAGTGTCGGAAGAAAACTTTAAAACAATGAGAAAATACAGGACACTGTAGGACAAGGGCGCCATCTGTTGATGCAACTCAACCTTTATTGCTCACAGTCCTGTCTGTGACAGTTTTGGGAGGATCTGTGAAGATGGTGGTGTGTTTTTCTGGTCTAGATCCTGTATCAGACTCTGACTGGACTGAAGAAGAACCTGTCTGGAGTTCAGATGGTGAGTCAACTGGTCCACTGGATTTCTTTAAAAGGGTTTAGCTTCTGCTAACCCTAAACTCTGATGTGCACTAAGGTTCCTGCTCTTCTGGAAGCTGAAGGTTCCTGTTCTTCTCCATCTCCATCATCATCATCATCATCATCATCATCAGATGAAGAGGAGGCCTGCACTCACCAGCAGCAGATCCTGGAGACACCCTTGGACAAGAAGGTGGATTTCAGGGCTCATTAGTCAGAGGCGCTCACACCAGGGCCATGGTACCATGGTACAACGGTACCATGGTACCATGGTACAATGTCCAACCTTGTTTGACCCTTAGAAGCTATGGCTAGTGTAAGTGCAACAGTTCTAAGGTGAGGCACGGTACCCTTCCCTGCTACGGCGCCGTTGGAAGAGTTGGGCCAAAGCACAGAACACTTGGCCACACATGCACAGGTGCAGTTAAGTTCAGAGCCACCAGGGCAGTAGTGGCCTTATGGTTAAGCAGGCTTAGGTCTGGAAGGTTTCAGGTACGAATCCACCAGCTGCCAAGTTTCCACTAAAATGCATGGTATGCTCCCCCTACCCCCGCATTGAAGATCTTTCTCATTGTCTCAGATCTCATTGTACATACGTGATCAAGAGTGAATCTGACAACATGTGTCGTAGGTTTGGGCCAGACAGAGAACAACTGCTGCCATCAGGTCCATCTCCTGGTCCATTAGTAGGACCAGTATCTGGTCTTTGGATTTAAACATGATTCTCCATCATCCTGTCACTGGCTGAGAAGTGACTTTTTTTTTTTACAGGAGAAGAAGAAACAGATCAAAGAAGCTCAAAGAGAAAGAAGGAAGAACAAGGTTCCAAAACACGTGAAGAAGAGGAAAGAGAAGGTGGCAAAGATGAAGAAGGGCCGATGAATGATGTCATTGATACTTCATCCAACCACAACTGAGAAAAGGGCTGAACTGTCCCTTTAGATTGTTTTTAACAAATTAAAAAAGTCTTTTTCAGACATCATTGTTGTTGTTTTTTTTTTACAGAGCAGAAGAAACTGAGTCATGTTAGTGTGTGTGTGTGTGTGTGTGTGTGTGTGTGTGTGAGAGAGCTAATTTTATTCAAGAAAATAAAAGTGTTAGTCATGTCATGTTTTTTTATCAGTCAGACTGACCTGTTGCCATGGAGACACCACGTAGCAAGGATGTCGCCAGTGTTCTTCTCTCAGATAAGAGTTTAGCAGAATGAGCCTATCAGAGTGAGCAGGATATTTGTAATCTGATTACTCTGCTGTAACCCTATTATCCCATAGTTACTTTGTAGTTTCTCATTGGTTCTTTGCTCTGTGACTTTACAAACACACAAGTCTGTCTAATGGGAAGTTTGTTGTTGGTCAGCTGACCAAAGACACACACTGTCTGTTCCTGTCGCTGACCTCTGACCCACTTGGGTCCTCCAAGGAAATTGTGCCTGGGCATGTGATGTGTGTTAAGTTTCTGACTATCAGGAGTGTGGGGGGGAGGTGGGACCATGGGTAGCTGCTCTCTGATTGGCCATTTTTATGTATAAATATGACACAAAAAAGGAACAAATAGTTTCTTTTTTGCAGACACTCAGGTTCAGACTAGTTCTCTGTTTTCAATTTCTAATGTTTTTACTCTTCTGTTGGTTCTGTTTTTAAAACTGATTTTATTCTGTCTCTTTACAGTGTTTCTACTTTGGTGTTTCTTTTTTCATTACATTGTTCTTCTATTTTCTTTTTTCAACGTGTCTCTTGCATTTCTATTATTCTTCTTGTTTCTTTTTTTTTTTAATCACTCACTCTGACCAGATTTCAATCACCATGTCCGACTGGAGCCACTGTTTCCATTTTGGTGTTTCTCTGGCCAATCAGGCTGCTGAGGTAAGAGACAAACTAACGTATCAGAGGACAGATTACCAGTGATGTAGAATAATTCAAATTTATGAATTAAATCTATTACGTTTATTAATTTTAAATACAATACAGTCAGATGTGCAGGAACCAATCAGAGATCTGTTTGATGTTGTGATGTAGAAACTAAGAGTCGGGGTCAAATGAAGTTCAGAAAGAACAAAACTAAATCTCAAAGAATGTAAAGAATGAGATATGATATCACACACACACGCTGACGTTCTGTGTTCCCTGATCTCAGATCATCCTGACGTCCTTCCAGAAGCAGAAGGCTGTGAAGCTGAAAAGTTCTCCTGCTGATCTGGTGACAGAAACTGACCAGAGGGTGGAGACGTTCCTCATCTCTGCCATCAGAACCCAGTTTCCAAACCACAGGTTCTCAACTGTTTTGTCCCTACTCCTCTGTTTCTGTCCATGTTCTACCTTCTCCATTGTTGTTCTTTCTCTGGTCTTTGTTCAGATTTATTGGGGAAGAGTCGGTGGCAGCAGGTGAAGCCCTGGAGTTGACAGACACGCCCACCTGGATCATTGACCCTATCGATGGGACGGTCAACTTTGTCCACAGGTGAGGCCATCTGCCCCTGTGTGATATCAGTGTGACCTGACTCACTGACTGTTTGTGTTGCAGGTTTCCATTTGTTGCCGTTTCCATCGCCTTTGCAGTCAACAAGCAGGTAAGCCCCGCCCACTGACGGTGTAAGTATTGTTTATTGTTTATTTATGTACAATTGTCTGTTGATAGACAGAGTTCGGTGTAGTTTACAGCTGCGTGGAGAATAAACTTTTCTGCGCTCAGAGAGGGCGCGGAGCTTTCCTGAATGGAGAACCACTGCACGTGTCTGGACAGGAAGGTGACGTCATTGACGTTTGACATAATTTCCCAGATCAACAGTGTCAACCACAGCATTACAACCCTGTTTCTTTTGGCCAGTCAGACATCAGCAGGTGTGTGATTGTCACGGAGATCGGCCCAGAGCGTGATGACTTGGCTCTGTCAACTATGACCTCCAACATCTACAGGCTCCTACGACTTCCTGTCCACGGGTGAGTAATTGAACCCTCAACTTTGTTCTACTTTTGGTTTTGTTCAAGCTGGTTTCTGAGATGTTCTGATGTAGAAAATGTCATTATTTGTCAAGTGTGAGGGCGTTGGGAACGGCAGCAGTGGACATGTGTCAGGTGGCAGTGGGTGGGGCTGATGCCTACTTCCATGTGGGTCTGCACTGCTGGGACATTGCAGCGTCAGCCATCATTGTGCAGGAAGCTGGGGGCGTCGTCATTGATACAAATGGTGAGGGAATGAATGCTGATGTCAGATGGGGTTATGGGGCAGGGGTCACGGGGCATGGGGGTCAAGAGGGAGAGGGCTCCTGAAGGGCTGGCGTCTTTTCATGTCCGTATTGTCTGCAGGTCTGCACTTCGATATGATGTCCAGACGGGTCATTGCTGCTAGCTCTGCTTCTGTTGCTCAACGCATTGCCGATGTGATCCAGGTATTTCCTTGTCGCCGTGATGACGAGGACCCCTACAGTTCTGTGTGTGGTGATGCAGGTGCATGTGAAAACAAACACGTGTGAACAATGACAAACAGGAAATTGAGTGTTTCCTCTCAAAGGCTACAAATAAAGAAGAAAAGGTGACAAATTGTGTGGCTTTATTCAACACACACACACCAGCTGGTTGTTCAAAATTGAGGGTTAAAAAGATGGTCGATGTGATGACGTCTCATTTAGACTTATATTTTATTATATTATATTAATTTTTTCTTCCTGTCTAATCTCTTCCACAATTTAGAAAACATAAAACGTTTTGGCCCCACATTGGAGACATTTTGTACTACAACCAACAACAAACATATCAAAGTCAAAGTCAGCTTTATTGTCAATTTCTTCACATGTACTAGAAATACAAAGGAATTGAAATTCAGTTTCTCACTGTCCCACGTGTAGACAAGACATTAAAGTGTAAAACTAAACACTAATGTACAGTACAGTGCAGTCAAGTGTGGTCAGGTATTAGCAGCAGTGCAAATGGTAATATAGTGCAAAAGATGCAGATCGGGTCTGAGTCCAAGTGTTCACTGGGGAGTTCTGTTCTTGAGGAGGTGTGGAGGCACAGATTCCTAGCTTCCTGGCAGCCTGGTGGGTGGAGCTGTGGGAGCTGTGGTGGTGTGGGAACCTGTACCTCCTCCCAGAGGGCAGGAGGCTGAACAGATTGTGTGCTGGGGGGCTTGTATCACTCACAATTGTGATAGCTTTTCGGGTGAGGCGGGTAGTGTATATGTCTTGCTGGGAGGGGAGTGGTGCACCAGTGATCTTCCTGTCTGTGTTCACTATGCGCTGCAGGGCTCTCCTGTTGTAGTCGGTGCAGCTTCCGTAGCCACCAACCCGGAAGTAAACGGAGCGGCAGCAAAACGAGATAAAAAGAGAAGAGTTGAGCCCAAAAAGCAAAGGTAATGTGCTTTTAAATCAACAAACGTCATTATATATTTTGATTTTAAACTTGTGTTCGATAATAATTGTACATTTCACCTCCCGACCGAAAAAAATACTCGGCGACATCTTGCTGCAAAAACTAGCATAGTGGTTGATTTAGCCAACAGAAATGGAGAAATATAAGATAAACATATTGTCAACGACTGCAGTAGTGGTACAGACGTGAGACAGAAGAAATGTCGGAGCCTATTGTGGTACAGTATTTTAAAGGGTGTATCGGAATGGTTTTGAATTGTGGAATTTCTTCAATAATATGCTTTTATTTAAGCCAGTTTGCTACAGTTTTGAGTTACAGTTAACTTCCAACTATATTTGTCTCATTAAAAGCCAGTTGTGATCATTGACAGTATAATTAATATCAGGTTGTTAATACCGAATGAGTGAAGTTGTAGTTGAAGACTTGATTATTATTCATCTGTAGTGACTTTCAGCCAGCGAACTGTTCCGTTCACACTCATAGGCGCCTGTACGGTTACGGTGTTCTATTGATCCAGGCCGTGGTGTTAAATTATGGAATTAGTTTTTAATGTCTATTTGACATTAAACTGCACGTATACAATAGCAGCGTCAAGACTGCGTGTGATTTTGAGAGAGAAAGTGGGCAGTGGTGGCCTAGTGGTGAAGGAGGCTGACTTCGGTCCGGAAGGCCCCAGGTTCGAATCCACCAACTGCCAGGTTGCCACTGAGATGCACTGAGCATGGCATCGTCCTCAAGCACTGCTCCCCGGGCGCCGACCACGGCTGCCCACTGTTCACTTTGGTGATGGGTTAAATGCAGAGGGCAAATTTCGTTGTGCATGGTGTGCTGTGCTGTGTCACAATGACTAATAAAGATATGTGTGATTTTGAGAGAGAAAGAGGTTGTGCACGTGTAGGTAGAACAACCGTGTGGGCTTTGGCGCCTCTGCTGTCAGTTGATCTAATGCAGTGGTTCTCAATTATTTTCTGTCATGTCATATTCTGGATAAATGATGTTCATGACGTTTTCAAATAGACGTCGGTTGGATCCTTGTCTTGCTGGAAAATCGTTCTTCATCCAAGCCGTAGTTCTCTTGCAGACTGAATAAAATTGTCCCTCGGAATTTTGGTTTCCAAGCTTTCCAGGGCCTGCTGCTGAGAAACATTCCCACAGTGGGAATGGTGTGTTTTTGGTGATGTGCAGTGTTTGGTTTCCACCAAACATAATGTCTGCTGAAGAACCAGGGCAGCAGTTTCTTTATGCACAGTCTCTCCTCAGTGCATTTGAGCTGAGGCTTGTAGCTCCTTCAGAGTAGTCGTTGGGGTCTTAGTGGCTTCTCTCACTGGTCTCCTTCTTGCATGGCCACTCAGTTTACGAGGGCGGCCTGATCTAGGCAGATTCACACGTGCCGTATTCCTTTAATTTCTTGATGATTGATTTCACTGAACTCTGGGGATGTTCAATGCCTTGGAATTATTTTGTTATCCATTCCCTGAAGTGTGAATAACCCTTTCTCTGAGTTGCTTGGAGTGTTCTTCTGTCCTCATGGTGTAATGGTAGCCAGGAATACTGATCCACCAGTCTGTGGACCCTTTAGACACAGGTGTTTTATACATCAATCACTTGAGACACACCCACAGGTCATCTTCATCTCACTAATTATGAGACTCTTGTCACCAGTTGGATGGACCGTTCAATTTAAAATGGGGCGAATACTTATGACAAGCACTGAAGATGACAGTCGCTACTTTATACTTCAGGCTGCTGAACAGCAGCTCCTGATGGAGTTGAATGAAAAGGTTAAACACACTGTAAGAAAAAAAGGCAGAGCGAGTGTAACAATTAAGAATCATAACAAGGTTTGCACAGCTAAACCTATGTGTCTAATCCTGATTTACTCACTTTTTTTGACCCTCCTCAGAATAAACCCTAAAGAATAAACCCTCCATTATGGCAGAGCAGTGGCAGGATGTGTTGGATCATGCTGTGGCTGTGGCCCAAAAAGCAGGAAAGGTGGGATTATTGGAAAATCCAGATTATTTTATTCCATTGGTGTTGTCTGATTCGACAGTCATATTGATTATTTATCAGGTGGTACGTGAAGCACTGCAGAGTGACAGAAAAGTGAGTACGAAAAGTTCATCGATTGATTTGGTGACACAAACTGACCAGAAGGTGGAGCAGCTCATTATTCAATCAGTGAAGGAGACATTTCCTGCCCACAGGTAGGAAGCCACGCCTTCTAGTGTGTTCTATATTGTTTTCACTGTATTAGCAATGTCACAGTGACATCATCAGGTTCATAGGGGAGGAGTCTGTTGCAGCAGGTGAACCATGTGACCTGACAGACGAACCCACCTGGATCATTGACCCCATAGATGGCACCACCAACTTCGTTCACACGTAAGTTGAAGGTTAAAACATCAGTCACCTTAACTGTGATCTTGGATGACCTTATTGACCTCTGGTAACCCCTGTTACAGTTTTCCCTTTGTTGCAGTTTCCATTGGCTTTCTTGTTAATAAGCAGGTGAGAATTCATGTCCCTTACAGTGAATTAGGTCACATGACCACAGCTGTAGCCCTTTGAAAGCGTGTGGTCTCTGGTATGTTCTGTTTTTCGGGTGGAAGTGGGCGTGGTCTACAGCTGTCTTGAAGATAAGATGTTTGTGGCACGCCGTGGTAAAGGAGCATTCTGTAATGGAAAACAGCTTCGAGTTTCTGATCAGAAAGGTCCGACCATCAATGATGAGTATGTCAACAGTCTGTCAAAACATCACTCTGACTGTGTGTGTGTGTGTGTGTGTTAGACATCCACTGCTCCATCGTGGCCACAGAGTTTGGCTCTAACAGAGATGGGGGTGCTGTAGAGAAAATCTTTTCAAGTTTGAGAAAAGTGGTTTGCCTTCCTGTCCATGGGTGAGACACTGACGACATCACACAATGCCCAGGTGATAAAAACACCAGGTGTTAACGAATAGATGTGGTCCCAGGGTCCGCGGTGCAGGATCTGCAGCCATCAACCTGTGTCTGGTGGCGTCAGGCTGCGTTGAAGCCTACTATGAGATTGGAGTTCACGTGTGGGACGTGGCTGCTGGCGCTTTGATGGTGACGGAGGCAGGTGGAGTCCTGATGGACGTAGAGGGTAAGTGTGACATCACACCGCTTTCTTAGTCTTGGGACTCATACTACAGTACTCACATGACAGTATGTGTACATAGGTGGTGCCTTGGACATGATGTCGCGCAGAATCCTCGCTGCTAACAACCGACACATTGCAGAGCAAATTGTTGGACAGATCCAGGCTTTTACGCCCCAAAGGGATGACGCTCCGCCTCAACAACAGTGAGGACGAATTAAAAACAATATTAATAACTGAGATTTATATGTGGCTACCATGGAAACTCATAACCTCTTTGTTTATTCTGTTTATGGAAATAAAGGTGTTTCACATTTACATTTATGCATTTCAGCAGACGCTTTTATCCAAAGTGACTTACAACAGGAGAATTAACAATCAAGCTACGAAGAGCAACTTTTAAAAAGAGACTGCTATTCAGTAAAGTGGGATATCCTAACTTGGGTGGAGATCAGTGCAGAACAAGAGGGGAAGAAGAGGAAAGTGTTAGGGCAGGAGGCCGTCTGAATAACTGTGTCTTCAAGAGCTTCTGTGAGAATGTAACATAAGCATGTGTTAGTGTCATGAGCTGGCCTCTCTTGTGGTTGCCATGGTGATTAAATTTATCATCTTCTGAGAGGAAGCTGAGTGGTCACAGTCTGAGGAGAAAAAAAGTTAAAGCCTGTGATTAGTTCAAACTTGATGATCAAGATTTGAAACATTAAGACATAACCAATAGATTGATGATCACCAACAATATCATCTATGGTCATTGTACCAGTCCTCATTGACCCAATCACACCCTGAACTTGTACCACAGTGGTACCACTGGGCCTGAACCTAAACCTAAAGTTTTCACTCGGAGATCTTGGGTCATTATTATTCATGTTCATATGTTAAAGTTCAGTTGGGATCAGTGTGTGTTCAGATTTGGAATTTTTATCAGCACCTGTGTTCAGAGATCAAGGGTTTGGGTCAAATGATAACAACAAGAATGACACTCACAAGTCGCAGCCGCTGGGCATACGCCTGCTCTAGTTCATCCGCTCTCCTAGTTGGAACTGGCACTTTCCAGCGCTGAAGCTCTGACATCAGTTCCTGTATACTAAAGAGGACAGCTGGGTCGGCATGGCAGCGGTTGATGTGCTCCACCAGAACTTCTTTGTAGTGAGACCTGAAGTCACATGGACATTAAGACACCTGGACACCTGGACACGTAATAGGCCCTTCCCTCTGACCTACCTGCAGTATCCCAGATGTTCCGTCAGCGCAGGTTTCCCACATGGCTCGTCCTGTAGCTCACTGCTGTCCTTTAGAACCAAAACCTGACAGAGATCAGAGGAGCCAAGGACCGGTTCCACAGACTCTTGGTAGAACTGAAGAACCGGAACACAACCAGATGATTACTCTCAGGTGGTTCTGGACTCGGATTCAAATTTTCCTAAGTCTCAGTCTCAGGTGGTTCTGGTCTCAGATTCACCTGCAGTAGTTGTTTCAGGCGGTTCATTGTCCAATCTCTGAGGTGATAGAGACAGTCTCGGGGGTGGTGGGCATGAAGACCTCTGGTCGAACAGTCACCAGAGAAACTACACATCTGGGGACAAGAGCCACCATATACAGTAGGGGGAAGACAGAGGGAGGAGGTGAAGATGGGGTAAGGAAGTGAGGATGAGGGGAGAAAGTCAGGACGGGGGAGGAAGTGAGGACAGAGGGAGGGAGGGAGTGAGGATGGGGGACTCACAGCTCCTACAGAGAAGGTCTGAGCACAGCCTCCACAGAAGTGATGTTTACACTGAGAGCAGGTGAAGTGAAGACATCCTCCTCTGGACAGACTGAAGACACACTGGCACTGAGGACACTCTAAGGAGACACACACACAGAGTGCAGTCCAGAAGGACACATCTTGGCTACAGTCTGTACAGAAAGGTGAGAGATTTTAGCTCAGAGACACAGGAGCTGTGAGTCCTTTTCTGCCGCCAGTGGTCAATTTGTTTCACTGGGACGAAACAGTGACGTCACAGAGGAACTCATTAGAACTCAGTGATGAGGCAGCAGTGGATCAACAACTGCTGAGTCTGAGAGAGGGTTGGTGTGGACATGTGCAGATGATGTGTGTGATGATGGTACCGATGCGGCTGTCAGTCAGGCGGGTGGATTTGAGCAGGTCCTTGTTCTGGTTTTGCTGCAGCTTTAGTTTAAACTGGTCACATGACAAACCCAGATGCTCAGGCGTCCACTGAGAAATAGTGACATTACTGATGAAAATGAAAAAACATCCCATAAATAACAACAACATCAAGTAAATCTGTGTCTCTTACAGCTGTTCGACATTGACTGCATGTGCTCTTCTTACAGTTGGCACAGTCCATCCTCAGCTGGCCCGAGTCATGAAACATCCCAAAAGAGCACTGACACACACACACAGCAGAGAGCATAGAAACTGAGATGATAAACAGCTGATGTTATGAACATTAGTGAAGAAGTTAGAAGTATCATCATTCATCTGGTCCAAAAGAAACAAAGATCTTCACAAGCGGTCCAGTTTGGACCTGAGGTCCAAGTCCATGTCTGCTGAAAAGATACCTAGACTTGAGAACCATTTGAAGGAAGAAAGAAGATCAGAACCTGAAGAACATCATCCTCAATGAGAAAACACCTGCAGCTGAGTCTGTTATTTTTTAAAATTATTTTCCAGAAACACACTTGGAATCTTGGAACACATTTCTCCTGAAGACCAGAGTGATTACTATTGACTCTCATTGGGGGTGGTGGTGTCCTGGAACTGGAGAGACTGGACTGGAACCAAATCCTTCATAAAAGTAAAAAATGGAGCAAATCCAGATCTTACGTGAGCACACCAGCAGAAATTATTTGTCTCCTGAAGAGCTCCATCTCTGAGCTTCCTTTGGAAAAGTTCGTGATCTTGAGGAGACAGGAAGTGACGGATCTGCAGACACACAAACAGTCTGAGCTGTGACTCATTCTTCAGGCACTTTGACCCTCTGGGGACCCCATGGCTTACCTGAGTGTCGAGTAGGTTGAAGAATTCCATGGCATCCCCTAATGCCCCCTGTCTGACATCAGGTCTGCCACACTGGGGACAAACCAGCTGATGGATGCTTCGCTCCTTGATGGCTGAGGAGAAGAAGGAGCTGAAACAGGACTGACAAATGGAACAGGAGCAGTGGGTCATGAAGACCACCTGATGAGATCAGAATAGTTTACAAATTATGAGGTCACTTCCACAAGTTGAGTTAGATGAGGCGATTTAGGTCAGGACCTGAAAACGCACCTTGCTGAAGGTCACCTGGTCTTGACATATGGGGCAGCAATGGTTTAAGAACCTGAGGGCAGAGGGTAGATCTTTGGTGAGCTGAACTGCCTCTATCACATCAGTGGGGCTGAACTTCTGATCCTCCATCTCCATCAAGGATCTGTAGATTGACACCTGGTCTGGACGGAGCTGAGGCCCAGCATAAACTCTACTGCCACCAGATGCCAGCTGAGCCACACCGTCACTACCTTCGGGCTCTGGTAGCAGTAATTCTTTTGCCTGTTTGTTGCTTAATCTGGAGCCTGGTCCACCATCCCAGCACACTGTTGACACACTGTCTGCTACTGTTTGGATCGTCTGTTCACCTGGGTCTTCTTGGGTCAGTGTCAAAACATCCATCTTGTTGCTAAGCTGAAGATCTGCAGGGATGAAAATCAAGAGGAGTGAACTCCAGATTGACCCAGAACTAGTCCTCCTGAGATCAGAACTACCTGGGACAATTTCATCTAAGCTCACCTGAGAGGGAGGGGCTTCTTAAAGGGTTGCTGTGGATGGAGGGTGGTGGAGGAACAGTGAAGTCAATTTCCAGAAGCTCCTCCAAATATGATTTTCCCCCACTCAATCCTCTTCTCTGCCCCCATTGGCTGGCTGAAACACAGAGGATAGGACTTCATAGGTCACTGTGGCTACCAGTTAACATGTAAAGGTGCTAACAGAGGGCTTACCTGTACGTGCAGGAGTGTGATCAGAGGAGGAGAAGATGGAGGGTGAGCAGAAGATGTTTGAAGAGAAGGCAACAGTGGGTTGCTGGTTTCTGCAGGAGGAGAGAGATGTTTGTCCACATGTTTCTCCATCAACATCTTCTTTGTGGTCGTACTCTCACCTTCCTGATTCACTTCCTGACCACACCTCTGCTACTGATGTGGGGCTTGGGGGTTGTACAGGACTGCTTGAGTAGAGAGGTGTGTTCACCTGAAAGACTTGCCTCATCTCTGACATTAGCTGTGATAGGCTGGAAACACCCTGACAGGAAGTGACAACATTGTTATGGTTTACTGGTCCTGAATTTGACCCTGGACCCAACCATCCTAAATTTGGACTTCTGATTAGGTAACTATGGGGTGGAGACATACATGAGTCCAGTTTCTAAGGCCATTTAGACTAAGGATCCCGGCTTTGTCCACATAAGGGCAGGACGGATTGATCACCATGGAGACGGACGGACAGACATAACAGCGAGGCCGGGATGCAGGGTGAGTCTCATGAAGCCAAATGCACACTGGGATATTATAGCTACTTCCTGTGGAGACATGACATTTGCATAAAATCACACATTGTTTATTACCAAGACAACAGTCCAGGTCTGGGTGCACTGTATGAAAAGTACAAGGCAAAAGTCACGCTGGGGTAAAAACGAACATGAAACAGACAGAGAACAACAGAATTAAATAAATAAAAAAAACATCAACAACTGGTGTCATGTATGTCTCTTTTTATCTTTTCAATAGTTTCAAAGATCTGACACAGTTTATAAAATTGCTAGTAAATGTGGAGAAGGGAGGGGTGGGGTGTGCCATTGATGTAAATATTAAATAGTAAATATACTAAATTATACTGTAATTTGAAAAAGATGGAATGTTGACTGTGGGTGTCAGAGCAGCAGAACAAAGTATGAAAAATTGAAAATTAAGGTGTGGATTGGCTAAAATTAAGAACTTTCTCATCAAAGTCATTTCAATTCTTCATGTTCTGTTCCTAGTTCAGAAATCAGGTGAATTTACCTTCGTAGCAAACAGGAAGTGTTCCGGCCAAATAAAGCAGCTTCTTCTTCGTCTTGTCTGGAAAAACTGCAGTGACCAGGTATTTTATTGATTTGATTCTAGCGGACATGGATCTGCTTTCCAATAAAACAGTTGGACCACAGAGTCCGACTGATTTATTGTGAAAGAGCAGAAAAGGGAAATGGACTCACCGTAATAGTCCACATAGATTCTGAGGTCAGAGTAACTGGCGCGTACTTCCTGTACATCACTGAGGGCTTCCGCCGGAAATGTATAGTTACACTGCCAATGAAAAGTTAGCAGGAGGCGTAATAAGCACAATTACTTAGTTTGCAGAAGTTTGAACATAAATTGTTTTCATTTTTACCTCAGTAAGAGTCCGCAGTTCCGCCCCAGCAACCACCAGCGGCATTGTGCCTCTTAAGCTGAGTCCAAAAACTCGAACCCCCGCAGCTGTTAACTGAGCAGGGACATAGTGCAAATAGCTGTGCACAAAGAACAAATACTTCCTCTCGTAAGCTTGTCAAAATAAAAGTATTAACTTAAACCCATACGTACTTCTTTCTAAGAAAGAAATGACGAGACAGAGAGCGTGTGCAGGTAGAACAACCGTGTGTGCTCATTGCTGCTCCTGCTGTCAGTTGATCCAATGTGTGATTTACAGTGAGATGATGCCAAAATCACAAATAGCACAGGGTCAGTCAAGCAGCTGCAGCCCCCACCAGTAGAAACAGAAATCGCCGCCCCTGGTGATGATGCATTCGAAAATGCTGGTGAAACACCCTAGGAGACGTGGTTGGATCATCTCGTGACAGTGGATAATGGTAAACAGTTAAGGTAAGACATTTTTGTCTTGTTTTTCCTCTGCTGTGTGTATTTTGCTGTTTGTTTACCTGTACATTAATGGTAACATTTATTAAAACACCTGTTAGATCGTAGATTCTTGAGTTCCTGGATGTCACACCATTGTTTTCTTTTTGAAGAGTCTCACCTTCCTAAACATTGTTGTTGTATTTGTGCAGCTTTGTATTTTAGCCTTTGGACTAAATGTAGTGTAACATATAAAGTCTACATGACTTTACACTGTTACAGGTTCAATATAAACTTAATTTTAAGACACAAATTACAAGGAAATATAATTGTAACCATGGCCAGGAACATTGTGGCCCACAAGTCAAAACGTATACCCACGTCTGGTCTAAGAACTGGACAGAACCCCAGCCGGTTCTGAGAACAGTCCCAGATCTATAGCAAGGAACAGCAAGGATCACCTGACTTAACCTAGAGGACCATTAAAAGGCAGGGCCTCAGCACATATCCTGGCCCTGAAGAAACCAGTGAAGCACCTGAGCTGTTGTCATTTAATCTGGAATCACAGCCTGGACAACTCATTAGCTCCACCCTTCAAGGGTCTGTTCATAAAGCTAGCGTCTAAAGAAAAAGTCTGAGCGCTGACGTTCTACCTGCTGATTCTTTGGACTAAAAATCATGTTACTGATATCTGATATATTAAATTGGCAGTGATAATTGAAATGCATAAATTGTAATGTTAACAGCCAAAAATGTACTTAGAGTAAAACTACTGCAGGTGGCAGTGGAAACATTCTCTAACCCTAATCCTGAAACTGGGCATTGACCACTTCTGATTTGTTCACGTCTACTAACCCAGAACCAACCCCCCCACTAAACTCAGTAAATATGGACAGGAACAAGAAGATGCTGTTGCATTTTATTTACACCATGTGATACATTTTCTTTATCCTATTTGAACAACACGTGTGTGTGTGTGTTAGATTGGCGTGGCCCTCCATTCCTTGCCCTCCGTCAGTGCTCTTGGTTGATGGATGAAGACACTGTAGCGGACCCCCTGATTGGCGGCTGCCCTGACAAATCGACTGTTGGCTGTCATTGTGACGGCTTTGAGCAAATCGCCGGTACCAAAGATGGCAAGTGAGCGTTGATTGATCTTACCGCTGGGCCTGAGGTGCAACGTTCGCTCTGACACCTGGTTATCCACCAGGTTTAGGCGGGACAGCAACTTCTGAGCACGCTCTTTCTCACCTGGCCCACCCAGTGTGTCCAGGATTAGACGGAAGTCATCAACAGCTGCTCGGCAGGCAAACAATTCCTTTCCTTCCATGAAGTCGTCCAGCTGTGGGAGGACCTGTTGGTGGCGCTCCTGAGCAGCCTGCTCTGTCAGCACAGGTTCTTTGAAGGTAAAGTAACAGCGGCCATGGCTTAGTGATGACACGTACGTAATCAGCGTAGTGATGTCCAGGTTCACGCGTAGACACTCCTTCACTTGCACCTGAGCAGGAAATGCCAAGCGGGCCAGAACTGTGCTGCGGTCCACACTGGTCAGCTCAGATGACCACGTATCGTCGTCCTGCTCATCTTCAGCCACCTTCTCCTTCTCTTTCTTCCACTCCTCCACTTCTGGCTCCTCCACTACCTCCTCATCCTCCTCTTTCTCACTGTCGCTGTCTGTCATCATGCTGCTAACCGCCACGATGTCACCACGGACAGACACGCCCATGTCTCTGAGACGGTCTGCCATTGGATGGGAGACACCATTATAGAATGCAAAGACAACCTGCGGGTGGCGGTAATGAAGTGGGTGTTGGCAGGCAGCTTGCAGGAAGTCTTGTGCTTGGGTGATGATGCTTTTGTCACCGTACTGGCCCCGCCCCTGCCAGATGTTGTGCAGAGCCTCAGCCTTTCTGCCCACAGCCTTCACCCAGGTGAGCCCATTGTTTGCCACCACGTCCACCACCAATGTGTGGCGCTGGCCAGCAGTGTCCTGGAAGTTGAAGACATGCAGCAATGCCACCACCTTCTCCAAGCTGGCTGCTGACTCCACGATGGCACTCAGATGTGTCAGATTAGTGCTGTGTAGGTGAGATTCCTTCACTACTAACTCCCCTGACTTCACCCGCTGTAAAAACCGTAACTCTGCACCCAGTTTGGACAGGAGCTTTTGACGACCCTCCACACCAGGACACAGCAGTTTCGCCCTTTCCAGCAACAGCTGTGCCGCACTTATCCTCTGCTGCAGGGTCACCTGGACTGACATGATGACATCACACCTCTGGAAATACAGAAATAAAAAACACCGCTATCAACAAATGTATTATATCATATATAACGCTTTCTTTTCGCCTCTGCTACTCGCTGTTCTAGTTTAAGTAACCAACAGGTCGTGTCCAGTATTAAACAACAGTGAAAGTAGTCGTGATATAGGCTTAGGAATAATTAGTAAATATTACGACTATCGTTCTACGTGACAGACATACACACATGACGTAGGGTATTTTGGTTCGACGGACGGTGAAAAGACCGGTTGTTCAGTTCTTCCGAACGGAGTTAAGAAGCCAAAATGTTTGGTGAAAATGTTGCGCTTATCCGTTGTCATTTCCAATTACATGGGGACATTACTTACGGCACAGGTGACGTGTAAATCGGCTTCACTGTGGCTAACGGCTAGTGCTATCCAACTCCTTCGCTTTCAACAGCAACTTTCACAGAAAGGATGTCGAAATAAAAGCACAACTTCCTTTGACGTCGATTTATACGTCTCATTAACAAATTAAGGGCTAAACAAATTAGATTAAATCAATTTCATTTAAAATTTGATACACTCAGAACCTGATCTAATATAATACATACTAACACTGGCTAACGTTTTTTTTTTAAACTTAAGCGGCATTCACTTTTTCGGAGTTTTCAGAATAAAGGCCTACTACTGCTACTGAACTGTAAAAAAACAAAAAATTATTTATATGATTTGATATTGGAAATAAAATAGAGGACTGTCATTTTTTTCAAATTAACCGAGTTAAGTGAATTAGAGAAATTCATAAAGATTAAACAATGAACGCAAGGAGACTCACGTTATAATTTAACTGTCCATGCACTTGAGTTGTCGCAACTCCCAGCATGCTTGTGGAGCTTCAACCTGAAGTCAGACGCTGGACTCATGTCAGACCAGCCTTACTCGATATGTTGACATCTTATCAGAATTTGTTGTGAGACATTTATTTAATCCAGACTTGATATAGTGAAAGCTGGCACTGGATTTGAATCTTCAGAACCAGGAGGTGTGTGTGTGTGTGTGTATGTTCTGTGTCTCTTCAGAGGGAAGAAAATAAAAACATTTTATTGATGAACAGATCCAGTCAGAGCACAGCTGACAGAAAGATAATAAATACAGTCCAATTATGATCAGAGGCAAGGCACAGAAGAATGGAAGGTCAAAGGTCAGCCGTCTGGTCACATGCAGAAGTCAGAGGTTTTGCTTTCTCTTCTTAACGAGTTCTGCCAGAACCCTGTACCGATTAATGCACTCCTCCTGAAAAACAAAAAGAACCCTTAAGTAGGCTCGGGCCAACCCAACATCTGTAATGAATGCATCAGAAAATATTGGGTTAAGACCTGTGTCAAAGGATCACGGTTTGTCTAATGCCACCATCACAACCCAGCCAAATAAATGTTCCTTTGAGTTTAACCCTCACCCAAACTCAACGACACATTCTTGTCATTACCTTGGTCCTTCCAGGAACGACTTTGGCGATACGATCCCAGCGTTCTGCTGTTCCTCGGGGAAATTGTTGTAGAGCTAGTTCTAGTAGTTTCTGTTGGTTCTGAGTCCAGGCAGTTGACTCCCCCTTCTCCCTGGTTTGTTTATGCTCCACCTTCTCTATGATCTCTTGCAGCTCTGTCTCCTGCTCCTCCTCCACTGCTGGATCAAAGTCTCTCTGCCGACGGCTGCGTACTTTAACCTCTCCACCATCTGCAACCGCTGTAGAACCGGACTTCCTGTTTCTGCAATGCAACACTGGCTCTTCCTTCTGTGGTCCTTCACAGTCCCCACCCCCCACCTGAGTCATCGCACCATCAGCAACAGAAATGGACTTCATAGGAAGTAGAAGTTCTGACAGCTTCACCAGACCTGGAACACACAGACGCAGAAGAAGAAGACACAGGTTCTTCAACATATCCTGACAGTGGAACCAGGACCTGATAGTAGAACAGGTCAGAAGAAACAGACAGGAAACCTAAAATCTGGCAGCAGAACCAGAACTATATATAGACTATATAGATAGAAGTCACCTGGGGTGTGGATCACATTGTCTTTAATCTGTTTCACTTTTGATGTCACCTGTTAAAAAAAAATCAGAAACAGTTTTAAAAACGGTTCACTAAGACTGGATCAGTTGGAGGAGCAGAACCTCTACATCTGGTTTAAACAGAGTTGATGGAAGCTTTGTCCCAGACTAACCTCAGACACAGATCGTCCAAGCTCATGGGTGATCTTCTCCCAGCGTCCTGGAGTTCCTCCAGGGAATTTGACCATCAGCCTGCTGAGTAAACTCAGCTCCTCTTCTGACCAATCGGCAGCCTAAGAGCACAGAGACAAAGGTCATGCAAATAGTACCTGGATCCCTGGAAAACCTGGACCCTGAAGCCTTGCCTTGTTTGCGTTCACCTTCCTTTTGGTGTCCTGGCGCTCCTTCAGCCAGGTGTCCATCTGCTCCTCAATCTCCTCGATGGACGAGGTCTGCTCATAGCCCTGGAAACATGTCTCTGAGGAGGTCTGGTAAACTGGGAAATCCAACTTGGCTTTCTTGGTCTTTGGCCTTTTCTCTCCTGGTGGGAATAGATAAAATTCCATGTATAAAATGTGAGAAGATCCAGAGGTGAACTTAATTCTGAACTCTGATTGGTCAGATATCTTACTGATGACCACTTCAGCTTCAGCTTCCTCCTCTCTTTGCTGTTGCTCCAGGAGACGTTGCTCCTCATAGAAGTTCTTCACCTCCTGAAACAAAGAGAAAGACTTAGACCTGCATCCAACCCTGACCTCACAGGTCTTAGCTGTGTCCTTGTACCTGGACCGTCTGAGGCAGGTTTCTGAGAGAGACATAAATCCAGATACTCAGCTTCAGAGGGAGGATGTCTTGCCACTGAGGACGATCCTGGACCCTGACGGAAACAGGAAGTAGAAATTATTGTGGCTGATCAAGAAGCCAAAAACTTAGTTGATCCTAAAACCCAGGCTCTACCTTTCAACGCGCTCCTGGTTTGGACTCTTGAGCTCTTCTGCAGGTTTAGAAAAGCTTTTCTTTTTCTTTTCCTTCTTCTTTTTACAGAGTAGCTCATCCTGGATACAAAGTCATATGTCACAATGTTAGGTCACATAACATCATCTGCTCTAAAACTGCCATCTTTGTTCTAGAATCTGCCTTCTCACCAGCTGCTTGTCCAGGTACATGGACCAAATGACGGCGTAATGTCCCACTGTCAGGATGAAAAAAAGCAAGACGCCAAGCTCACAGTTGCTCATCTTTCTGACTCGCCTGTAGTAAAAGACAGGCTGCCGCCAATCAGGAAGTCCGTTCACCAGGATGTGGTCATATCTGAGTCCAGGTGAGGCGGGGGAGGGACACAGAGAGAGTTTGAGGCCCATTCTTACACGTGGTGGTTGTCAGAGGTGACAAAATGATTATGTGACCGTTACCTGCGCCGTCTCTCTTCATCTTTCAGGACTTCGTAGATGGCAACAAGCTGGAACACAGTGAATGGATGTGGTTGGTGAGTGGTTGGCTCTGCTTAGTCACTGGTTGGATTCTATCAGTGATCAGCTGCTTTCACCTGTCTGAACTGAGTCTCAGCGTCCGGCTCTTTGTTCTTGTCAGGATGAAGCATCAAAGACATCCGACGGTAAGCCTTCTTTATCTCTACAGCTGAGGCTTCCTGACACATAGACACAACATGTAAACACGGCTCATTGACGTCACTTTTACTTAGATTATATCGACGGTACAGCTGACGTGACGTCACAACCGCAGCGCCG